AATTTCATAACCGACAAAAAAAAAAAAGGCAACGACAAAAGAAAATAAAAAAAAATTTTTTTAAAAACATATATTCATTTCGATTATTGCAATTGTTTGTTGTTGTTGTTGTTCTCTTTAAAAAAAAAAAAATTTTTTTTCTTAAAATTTATTATTATTATTATTAATAATAATAATTTCTTCTTTTTTTTTTTTTTTGAAAAAGTTATTGATGTGAAACCGTGCATTTAATGTTCGGTTGAACCAATAGAAGTAAATAAGGTGTTTGTGACAGCATCGTGGGGGCCACACACGATGGGGCCTTTTTTTTTTTTTCTTCTTCTTTTACGTTTGCCATTTATAACCTACTACTACTACTACGACCGAACGACCGACCTGGTAAAAACTAATGAAATGACTTTTTAATGCTTTCGATGATATATATATATAAATGCAAATATCTTAAGAGAGAGAGAGAGAGAGAGAGAGAAAGAAAAAAAAATTCTTTCCGTATAACAAAATCAGCAAGAGAGAAAGAAGAAGATGATGAAAAAAATATTATTATTATTACTATTAATAACTTTCAGCGTGAAATCACGATCTGCTTTATATTCTTATACATATATATAAAAAAAAAAAAGGATCGAAATTTTAGAAAAAACTAAACAACAACTCCACCATGGAGAGATCAGTCAAGTGCGGTGAACTTTGTACATGTTTAGGGTCGAAATCGATTGGTTTCCCCCTATACGATTTTGCCAAATACTAAATTTCTGCGGTTATTATTATTATTATTACTAACATGAATATATATATATATTTATTAAATTACCCATCGGTGAACCACATATTTATATATTATTATTATTATTATTATTATAACAATAAAATATTCATCCGCGTGAAAAATACCGGTTATCAGATTTTAACCGTTTTTCCGGTTCGTAGTCTTGCGTTCACATTTTGCGGTTAAAAAAATTTTTCCTTACCGCAGTCGTGGATTCGTTTTACGTTTAAAAAAACCATCGATTTTATCACCGCGAATTCTATTATTATTAATTTATAATAATAATAATAATAATAATGATAATGATAATGATAATAATAATATCGAATTAAAACATCAAAAAAAAAAAAAAAAAATTTCACGATCGATCGATTTGATTTTGCACAAGATTGAACGAACGTTAATAAAATGTTTAATCGAATAATAATAATTAAAATAAAAATATTAAATTCCCTTACACCCTTTCCCCTTTTCCTTCTCATAAGAAAAATGGCGTAATGATGATAATAATAATGATTTTTTTAAAACGATAAATAGTTATTAACAAGTGAATAATCAAAACCAAAAAAAAAAAAAAAAATCATAAAAATCTAAAACACAAAAAAAAAAAAAAAAAAAAAAAAAGTTCGTGAATGTTAAAAATCATGTTTTCCTTTTTGTTGTTGTTGTTGTTGTTGCTTTGTTTTTTATAAAAAATCGTTTTCTTAGAATAATTATCAGGTTTGCAAAATAATATTTTACATTTGAATCATCTTCTAAAACAATAAAAAAAAAAAAAAAAAAAATCCACGATTGATTCTTCTTTCTCTAAATACATTCGTACGTGATTAATCGAGTTTCGAGACTATCGATTTCGTTGGTGTTGAACCGTTGTTGTTGTTGTAGTTGACCTTTTTGCTTTCACAATTTATTTTACCTTTCTTTTTCTCGCTCGCTCGCTCATCTTCATCTTCATCTTCATCTTCGTATGCCGTCGTCGGGGGGGAGGGGGGAGGTAGAGGAGTTTGTGCCAATCTCTAAAAAATTATTCCGTGAAATTTGTTTTCCTTTCTTTTCTTTTCTTATTACGTGACGGTACGAGTGTGACAAACACCACCCAATCTCTAATTGTCCTTTCAATATGACGTAATTTTTTTTAAAGAAAAAGACCAGGTCAAAAAATCTCTTCTTTTTCTTCTTCTTCTTCTTCTTAAAACCATCATATCGATTATAATTATCGATATTAAAAAAAATAAAAAAATAGAGTATCCAATGAATGAAAATTAGGTACGCTACAGGTAGGTACTCGACGATGATGAAAACCATGTCAAGGATCACGTTTTATTATAAACGCCTTATTTGATTTTTATTTTTCGCTCGTGGGAAATCCCTTTTTTTTTTTTCTGGTTGGAAGGGTTGTGAAACGTCCTTGATTTTCGGGGGTTTTAACAGATTATTCCCATAAATTGTTTGTGTGTGTGTGTTTATAATATCGATGCAAACACCTTTTAACTACCTGATAACCACCAACCATTCGTCTTTTCATTTAATCAGGGTTCACACGAAATTTGCAATAAGATTCTTCTTCTTCTTCTTCATTTTGGGGTAAACATTTTTTTTTTTTAAATAAAAATCCTTCATCTTTCTTCTTTTTCTTAACTTTCCTGTTTCTTTTATACGTGTACACAAACATTTTTTTTAGGCTTTTCAAAAATATTATTTTCACTTAAATTTAAAATCCCACGGAAATTCTGAATTATTTTCAATAAACAACAACAACAACAACAATTTTTTTATATTATTATGCACGTGTATTTATTTTATCCCATCTCTCTCTCTCTCTTTCTCTCTTTCTCTCTCGTACGATTATTTAAATTCACGTAAGTAAATAATTTTTTTATTACTTTGTAATTAATATGTAAAATAGATCAGAAAATATTTTATGAGCATATCTAGTATAAAAGTCGAAATAAGACCGTTATTAATAATTACAAAAAAAATTTTTATATCCCCGCAATAAAATTCACACCGAAAATATTTATTTGAAAAGATCATGAGAATAATAATAATAATAATAATAATAATAAAAGTATCGTTAGATAAAAGAATAAGATACGAGTCCATTTAATAAAAGAAAAAATTTTTAACTTCCCACGGATAAATTAATAATAAACAAGTGAGTGAGTGAGTGATCATCATCATCATCATCCGAATTGTCCCATGACCGGCGATAACAAAAAAAAAAAAAAAAATTTACGCCGATGAGGACATTACGACGAATAAGAGGGGTAAGAAGTAAAAATTAAGGACCTACCTGTAAGAGAGTTGTTGTTGTTGTTGTTGCTGGTTGTTTGGTTCCAACACACATTGGGACACATGTTCTGTTCCCATCGTGGAGAAATAACCTTTTTACCCCGGAGAGAAACAAAAAGAAAGAAACTTGTGTGAGAACTCATCTTGTTTTCGTTAAGAAAAAAAAAAAAAAAGGGACTTTTCTTTCAATCTATCTTTTTCTCAACCACCATTCTGTGTGAACAACTTGCCAACGGTGTGAACCTGTCACTTCCGCTACCCTTAAAAAAAAAAAATAAAAAAATTTTTTTATTAAAAGGTGAGGACAAATCCGTTTTTTTTTTTTTTTATTGCGATACCAATTTTTTTTTTTTTTTTTAATATATCGAGTTTTAAATTATTAATGATAATAATAATAAAAAAAAAAAACTTAACAAACAACGAAACACGAAATAGAAATCGATTCGAACGTTAAAAAAAAAAAAAAAAATAAAACAACCGGTTGTTGTTGTTTGTTGAATAAAAAAAAAAAAAAATTTTCATACGCACACACACACACAAGCGGTAAGTGATTAAGGAAGTTAAATTTAACGATTTGTCCGTTCGAGTATAATTAAATAAAACTGGAGAACTGGAGACAGATGGAGAGGAAAAAAAAAAAAAAAGGAAAAGATTATAGAGCCCCCCGGGAGTGAGTAACAATTTAGTATAAAAACCAAAGAAAATTGCACATAATTAAGAAGTTTAAAATAAATTTAGCTTTTATTGAGAGCAAATAAATATGGCCGACCGACCGAATGATCGACCGTGTTTTTTTTTTTTTTTTTTTGCGGTTTAAATTTTAAAAACACTTTTAAACTATACATTACAGCAACAACAACAACAAAAACAACAAAAATCATAAAAATTTTTTCATTTTTTTTTTTTTTTTAAATTTAAAATATATGTATATAAAAATGGCGAATTAGAGCATGCAATAACAAATATACCGTAGCAAAAAAGAGAAAGCTATTAAAAAAAAAATGTATCGAAGAATCGCGGCGGCGGCGGCGGCGGCTATAAACTTTGATCGAACGCAAAAAATAAAAAAAAATATAATTAGAAGGGCAGAAGATACCTTCTGGAAATACTGAAAAAGAGAGAAAAAAAAACTTATAAAAAATGCATACGTCACGATAGCAAAACAAAATAAATATAACAAAAATTTTCGGAATGACTTTGAATCGTAGCAAAAACAAAAAAAAATTTTTTTAAAAGTGTAAATCAATCGTTAAACCTTTTTAAATGAAAGAAGAAGAAAGAAAAACAAAATTGAACCGCAGCAAACGGTTTTTTTTCCGCTCTCAATTTTTTCCCGACTCCTCTTACGTCATAAAATAATTACATCATCAATTCTTTTCAACGACGAACGCAATAATTTTACAAATATTAAACTATTCCAGCAAAGAAATAATAATAATAATAAAATTGTGGATATTTTTAGATCGTCAGTCTGGAGATATTTAAGGCCCTAAAAAAATTCTTAAGAGATAACTTAGGGTTAAGTCTCGAGTGTTTAAAATGAAAGCTAATAACATTAAAAAATTTTTATTTTTAAAATCCCACAAACGCGTAAAGTTTTTTTTTTTTTGCTATCATTCAATTGCTGCATACCAAAACGAAACGAAAACTACGTTTTTGCTACGAATAAAAAGCTTTACAAAAAAACAGTAATAATAATAATAAAAGAAAACCAATCAAAAACCTTTAATTTAACTTAATAATAATAAAAAAAAATTCTTCTTTTTTCCCTAACAAACAAACGAAAACAAACGTTAATTATAGTTTACACTTGAATTAAATTAGCAAAATATCTCTCGTCTTATTTTTTTTTTGCCAGGTACGATGATAAACATTTTTTTAATACGTCATTAATCTACAACAAAGTGTCATTATCAATACAACAACAACACACAAAATGTTTTTAATTTTTTATTTCTTCTGCTACCATTTTTTGGCAAATTTTTTTTTTTTTGTTTGTCAAGTGTTTTAAAACATTTTCGGATGGATGATGGATCCTTTTGATTTAAAAAAAAAATAAAAATCTACCGAAAATAAACAAAAAAAAAAAAAAAAACTTGTAATATTCGTTTTATGTTCTTTAGTAGTTTTATTTTAAACTCGACATTTTTTTTTTTCAATAGTGAAGTGGCACTAGTGAGCTCGTGTCGCAAAGTGAGCCTGTCATCGGGGCTAATTATCAAAAAAAAATTATCATTTAATTACATAAGCTAAATATAAGTTTATATATGTACATATATTAACATATACCCTACGAAATAATTTGAGAGAGAGAGAGAGAGAGAGAGAAAAAAAAAACTAAAATAGACATTTTTAACACTTTTAGTTTTTTTTTTTTTTTTTTAAAATTTCCAAAAAAAGCTGCCGCCGATCAAATATTTTTCCCTTCTCTCTCTCTCTCTTTCTCTTTCTCTCTCACTATTTCATAATTTTTTTAAATCAACGGATGAATTTATGAAATTTGGGTAAAACCTAAAACCTTAAAAAAAAAATAATAATAATAAATTCAAAGCTGTTATTTAATATTTATTTATTACTATATTTAGTTGGTACCTCCAGGTACGTACGAAACGAAAAACAATTTTTTTTTTTTTTTTTTGTAAAAACATGTCTTACTTAAAACGTAAGAGAGAGAGAGAGGGAGAGAGAGAGAAAAAAACTACTGCGAGTACGATAATTCGCCATTTTTATTTTTGCCTTCTTCTTCTTCCACGCCAAAAAAAAAAAAAAAAAAAAAACAAATGAAAACCTTCCGTTGTGCGTGCGTGAGTGCGTATTTTAATTCGATTTAAATTATATATACACCCGCACGCACGCACACGCACACGCACACACAATTTGAAATTTCTCTTTTTTTTTTTTTACTTTCTCTAAGCTCCATCATATCGATTTTTATCGATCGAAAACCTAAGAAAATTTTCTTTAAAAAGAAAGGCAGGTAGAGACCCGGACGTTCCGATTAATAACAAACGCATAAGAGTTTAAAGTATATCACTTTTACTTTGACCTTTTTTTTGACCTTTATAAATTTTGCTTGTAAGTCAACACCACGCGTTTCCCCCATCCCTCCCCACTTCCCCCCCGAAAAATGTCTCACGAATTCATATTTAAATATTTAAATAAAATTATTATTATTATTATTATTATTTTGCAGAGGGGTTTTTTTACGAATCGTTTTTTTTTTTTTTTAAATTTACGAGCGAGTTTTGCAAAAAAAAAAAAAAAGGTAAGAAAAATCATTGACCGGAACAAACAAGAAAAATTATTATTGTAAAAATAATAATAATAATAATAATAATAATAATAATAATAATAATAATAATAATAATAATAATAATAATGATGATGATGATGATGATGATGAAAACGTTTGCGGTTGTTAATAAAATAAATAAATAACGCGAGGATGTTATAATTATGGGTTGGATTTTGTTTGCCTCTACGACGACAAAAAGTTTTTTTTTTTTTTTCGGATCGCACTTACTACAAACGAAAATTTCAATATATACAACAAACAAACAATCTTTCGCAACAACAATAACAACAACCGATTTAATTTTTTTTTTTTTGTACCGATTATTAAAAAAAAAAAATTAATTGATGGATCGTAAAACAAAACAAAATGTCGACAAATGAAATTTAAAAAAACGTGTTTGTCTCGTTAAACGAACCAACAAACAAACAAACAAACAAACGATGATTGCAATAAAAATTAATTTTTTTATCATTTATAAAAAATATTTCATAATAATTTCATTAATTTCACGTAAAAAATTACAAAAGAGGGGAAGAAGAATCAAAAAAAAAAAAGAAAAATTTTTTTGTGCGTGTGCGTGTGCGTTTGTGGTTGGTGTCAGGTTGACGTGGTAGTAGCGGTACCTAAAATCAATTTAAAAGAATGACCAGCAAGTATTTTGGTATTTAGATCAGTGACATCGTAAACCAAATAATATATATCAGATTATAAATTTTTTTAAATCCATATTTAGGCCCCCCTCTAAATTTTTCATTATTATTATTATTTACGAACACAAATAATTGATTGAATATCTATGTATATTCATAAATACAAATAAATCGTTGAGTTGGAATTCGTTTATTTACTCTATGACTTTTTTTTTTTTGCAAAATAATTTTTTCTAAATAGAAAATTCCCATTTTTTCTTTCATTCTCACGATACATTTAAACAATGATGACAACCCGGTTGTTTGGTTGTTTGGTTCATAGTCAACATGAAAAATGTTTTATGTTTTAACTACAAAAAAAATTTGTCAACTTTTTTGAATTTATAACAAACATGCGACATCAGTCTAAAATCTATCTACAGAATAAAAAAAAAAAAAAAAAATTTTTAAATGTTTGTTTTTATTTTAATGTCGTCTTCTGTAGTTTCTCCTCATTATTTAATAAATCTTGTTTTTTTTTTTTTTTTTGTTTATTAATAATAAAACATCATGTTGTTAAAACAAAAACAAAACAGTAAAACGAGCGATGAGCGATTTAACATTTGTAATAATTAAAAATTCTTTTTTTTTTTTTTGAAACATTTTGAAATTTTCCTTCTAAATTATTATTTATTTGGACAAAACAAAAAAAAAAAACAAAAATTTTCACGTTGCGCATGTCACATGTCTCGAATAATTTTTTTATGTTAAACAAAATTTATTTTCTTTTATCAGGGTAAAAGTCATAGAGAGTGAGAGAGAGAAAGACTACGAGATGGCATTTTGCCATAGGTCCACCACCCTCATGAGTCTACACAAATGTTACGTAGTTGACGATGCGTGATGCGTGTCCATGTGTGCGCATTCTCCCACCTGACGTTTGTTGTTGTTGTTGTTGTTGTCGTGTGTCGGTCCCGTGCCTAACTAATTCCAATACCATATTGTCGACGACTAACTGTCTCATCTATCATTTACTACTCCTATTTTATTTTTATTTTTTTTTTTATTAATGGATGAAATCTTTCACGTTTGGCAAAAACAAAAACAACACGCCAACAACATTAAAAAAAAAAAAAAAAGTCGGAATTAATAATTTTAATTTTTTTAAATTTCCAATTAACGAAAACAAAAAAAAAAAAAAAAAGAAGAAGGGAAAACTACCCTTCGCCGAAAATAGCATTGTTTTTCTACGACACAAACCGTTCGGAGGCCATATTGTTGAACCAATCGATTTCACACGTCTGCTATATATATATATTTAAACACACACACATAAGAAAATATCATATGGGGCACGTGACTTGCCAGACGCTTTTAATTGCTTCGAGTTAAACAAACGCCCAAAGCTTCCAACTACCTGATTTTTTCTTTTTTGTTGTAGTTGTTGTTGTTGTTGTTGTTCACTAACGACTTTTTCAAAAAACCGTGACGAATATTGCAATGTTTTCTTCCTCGGTCATAAATTAAACGCCACCGAAACCTAATCGAGATCATAAAGGTGAATTGGGCAATATATCAGTGACAAAAACCCATAGCGCACCTCAAGGTATATTTTGAAAATATTTTTTTTAAATTCAAAATGAACTTTTTTTTTTTTTTTTCATAAAAAAAATTTATCTTCTGGTTATTCATACATATCACGTGATGGTATGATTTCTATTAAAAATTTCAACAATAATTTCCCTGAGAAAAAATTTTTTTTTATAACTCTTCAACATCATAAAAAATGGATGAATATATATTTTGAGAAATTAAACCAAAAAATTTCTTTTTCGTAAATTAACGAAAAAAAAAAAAAAAAGGGAAACAAAGATAAAAAAAAAAAAAATTTTTTTCGGTTGTCGGAAGAAGACAAAACAACAACCCCAAAAAGAGAAAACATATCTTCTCGAGTCAAATTAATACGACGAGTCCTTCCTTCCTTCTTCCTCATTCCAGAACATTCAATTTTAACGAACCTTTCGCATATAACCAGATGCTGTCACCGGAAGTCGGACTATGGAAAATGTGCTTTACTCAACCGGGTGTTTTGTTTTGACTATTCAACCGACGATGATTTCGTTACTACAATTTTTTTTTTCTTTCCGTAAAATGTAAAACGCTAATTGAATCGAAAAAAAACGAACAAACGAGCAACAACATTTTTAAACAATTTTATTACTTTCCAATTAAAATAAATCCATCGACTGACTGACTGACTTAACTTTTAAAACTACTCATCCACATCTCACATTATTTAAACTTTACAACTTTGACCAACTTTATTAATTTATTATCGACTCTCATTTTAAAACAATAAAAATAAAAATAATTAAAAAACAAAAATGGCGACCGCAAACGAAAAAATTAACGGTACCTTAAAAAACATTAAATGTTTAACCCTCCCCACCTAAAAATTTTTGCAATTTTAAACCGTTTCTCTCTCACAAAAAAATATGACATTTACGTGAAAAAAAATATTAATAATAATAATAATAATAATAATAATGAGTCAGATAAACGAATCAAAAAAAACAAAATTTCATAATATTAAAATTAAATAATATTTTCAAATGACAGATGAAAAATTTTAAAACAAGTGTAAATGAGTGTGTTCTTTTTTTTTTTTTTTTTTTTTCTGTTTGTACGAGGCAGGTTCTTATTATTTTTCTGATGCATCCTGTCACAATCTATCACTCACTGTCTTCCGGCACGTCACTTCCTTTTTTTTTTTTTTTTTTTTTACCCTCTCAGCTTCCTTAAACACACGTGTTCTCCTCTGGAATATATATATATATACACACACAAACACACATTTATTCCTTATTTGACAATTTAAGATGTCTCCCCAAACAATTAACGATAGAGAAAAAAAAAAAGGTCCCCGAGGTTAATTTATTTCATTGATAATATTTTTTTTTACTTATTTATTATTATTATTATTACCCGGTAACTTTATTATTATTAAACCGTCGACGAAATGAATGTTGTATTTTACCGTACTGTCATCGCGCCTTATTTAACAATTTATAAATAATGATAATAATAATAATTTTTTTTACTGAAAGTATTCGTTAAATTTTATATACGTACATATAAAAGAAGTTGAAAAATTTAGTGATGACGAAATAAACAACAAAGATTGTACGTATACCTGCCGTTATAATAAAAACTCAACTAATTGGCCAATTTGTACAAGAATTCATTTTGATGAACTCTGCAAATTTGGTAGCAACACACTTATCGTACCTGAAGATTTTAAAATGAAAAAAAAAAAAAAAAATGTTTTTCAAATGATGGTAACAGGTTCTTTCATTTGTAAATACTTTATTTGATTATGTTTTCAGCTTTTTTTTTTAATACTAATTTGGTTTGTTGTTGTTGTTGTTGTTGTTATTAAAAAACATTTTTCATCTTTTAAAAATATTACTCGTATTAGAATTTTTAACATTCGCATCGAGAGGAAAATAAAATTAATATAAAATAAATTTTTTTACGAGAGAGAGCCGAGTTAATTTTTTAAAAGCGTTTTAAAAGTAATAAGTTCGTACTAATGTCTTCTAGTCTTACTTTCTTTAAAAACAAACAGAAAATAATAAAAATGAGGGAAAATACAAACACCAGACAACTCGACGACAGCCTCCATCACAAATTTGCGTCAACACCAACTTAAAACCACTAAAAGCGTCATAAAAATAAATTCGAACAAAAAAAAAAAACAAAAAGGGTAACAAAAAATGTTTAAAAAAAAAAAAAAAATTAATTTAAACTTACCATTAATTAATATCACTCTGTCTGTCTCTCTCTCTCTCACTCTCCCTCCCTCCCTCTTTTTTTCTTTCGAAATATTTTTCTTTAAATTTATTTTTTTTTTTTGAAATTTACACCTGAAATTTAAAAAAAAAAATTTTTTTTTAATTTTTCCCAGTTGTTAAATTAAATCCATCGTAAAAAAAAAAACAAACATGAGAAGCTTATGGAACTATTTCCGGTGGTACTTTCGGAATTTCCGGCTCATAGATATTTTAAAGTCTAGACGTTGATTCATAATCTTATCCCAACCTCATTTAAAGCAACCTTGGCCTTTCTTTCTTTCTTTTTTTTTTTTTTCCTCTCTCGTAATAAGAAACATAAAAAAAAATTTTTTTTTTCTTTTTTTTTTTCAATGAGCGGAAGCGAACCTTATTTGTTTCCTTTTAAATAGTTTTTTCAATTGATCACCTGCCCCCTAAAAACGTTCAAGGCTTTTAAAACATTTTTTTTTTTTTTATTTACTTAATTTTTAGCAGAAACCTGTATTAGTATCGGTGTTGTTCATTTTATTCGCTTTAACAATAAAAATAAAATCTTTTTTCGTTTTATCGATACTTTAAAATATTTAATAATTTTCTATGACGTCACAAATTTTTTTTAAATTTATTGGGTTTGTAAAAAAAAAAGTAAGAACGAATTTTTTAAGGAAACAAATTATTTTTATCCATTATATTATGTCCATTGTTATCAATGATCTTTCGCCATTTTTCGGGTAGTATCATCATCCCATGTTTTATAAAACTCTTTATTTTTAGGAGCAAAAAACTGCTCCAATGCAGTTTTGACCTCATTTGGATTTTTTGTCCGTTCAAAAATTTTTTTAGTGATCGAAACACATGTAACTCACTTCGAGCTAAGTTGGGACTATAAGAAGGATGCGGCAAAACAACCCAGCCTAGTTCCAGTAGTTTTTGTCTGATGTCTAAAGATGTGTGGAGCCTGGCATTATTGTGATGAAAGACAATTCCTTTTCTATTGGCTAGCTCCGGTCGTTTTTCTTGGATGGCATTATTTAAATTCGTCAATTGTTGAATGTTAACCTCTGAATTTATGGTCTGACTTTGTAGGAACAGCTCAAAGTAAACTATGCCTTTGTAATCCCACCAAAATGATAACAATACTTTTTTTTGGTTTATGTCAGCCTTAAAAGTTGTTGGTGCCTGTTTCCCTTGCCTAGACCAGGATCTTTTCCTTAAAATGTTGTCATAGACAACCCCTTGTTTTCATCTCCGGTGACTATTCTTGCATCAAGCTTCTTTTAGTACCCAAGACGCTGCAGACAGCTTTCGACGTATGTGATCTTCTTTGTAATGTCCCTTGTCGAACTATGCCGATCATAATCAATCAGAGCCTTTATTTGCTCATCATCGACCTTCATCAGGCACGTGCTCCTCTTTTTTCAAAGAAAAATCTCCAGAACGGAATTTCGCAAACCAGTTTTTTGACACTGCCGTTCTAATAAGGCTTCCTCACCCTACCCAACTTTTTATTGGCTTGTGAAGCATCAACACCCTTTCAAAAATAAAAGGAAAATGTGGAGGAAATGCAAGGCTTTGGCTCCCTTTGTTTAAGTGTCTTTTGCTCATCAAAAATTCAACAATTCAATGAAATTTTGGTACTGAATGTTACAGAAGAAACCAAATAATAAGATATCAAAAGTTCATATCTGTGGCTCAAAAAAGTAAACATACTCAAAAACATGGACAAACTATCTGTTGATAAAATCCATAATCACTTACTGGCCAACCCCGCCCCCCCCAATAAAATGTTTCTACTTGGTTTAATCACACATGAATGAAATAAATTAAAAATGACAATTATTATTTTTTATCCTTGGCAAAGTTTTCAAAGTAAATTTTTTTTTGTGAAAGTAAATAATTATTAAAATTTAATGAAAAAACTTTAAACAAAGAAAAATAATAATATAAAGTAATTATGAAGGTAATTATTATTATTAATATTATAAAGCAGTAAAATCATTTTTTTTTTTTTAACATTAAATATTATTCCATAAGTTTCCTGTCAGTGTTTTTAATTTTTCATTGGCAAACAACACTTTTGAATTCTTTAATTTTTTTTAACTATTTCCATATTTAAGTTTTGATTCATTTGTAACATTATTTTTTACATTTTGATTTATCATTTCTTTATTAAGCTTACAGACTTCCTACCTGTGCATTTAATTGTACCTTGTTTTAAAGGAAGTTCCTTGCAAGCCTTTTAATCTTTCATTTTACCCCTTAATATTAAACATGTAAAGCCTATGAAGTTATTTTTACTTACTTCTATATACAACTCCATCTTGAAAATCAAATTGAACTTAATATACAAATTTAATATAATTCTATGATTGTGACAGTGTTTTCCAATTGATTCTGAAAAATTAAAAGTAATAAATTCAAAATAAAAATTGCTTTGAGTTATAGTTGTAAAAGTTGTGAAAAAAAAAAGCTTACTTACTTTCTTTCATTGACTTATTTAACTGTACTCAATGTTAATAACTTCTTTAATCTGGCTCATGCTAGGTGTTTGATAATCAATAATAATAATTATAAGTAGTAAAGTATAATCTGGTCAATGTTCAATCATATATAATTTCACATTTCCATCCAACATCTTGCTTTCATGTTCATGTTGATTAAAATGAAATAGAATATTTTTTATCATTTCAATAGATGTTATTATACCTGTAATTAAACATGTTATGTTAGTATTTTAATTATTATAATTAAATGAATTATTTTTTCTTAATTAAAAAGAAATTTTTGTGTCAATTCAAACCATTTTTGATTTCAATAAAATGAATGGCTTATACATGGCTTCTTTACCTACACAGTGACAAGTGTAATAATAATAAAAATGAAATATTTGAAAGTATATTAATCAATAAGTGATTATTTATATTAATGTTAATGATTTATTAAAAAATTATAATCCACAATTAACCCTTCAAGTCAAATTTAAACATTTTTTATAAAGAAACTTCTTTTTTTTTCTATGCAAAAATTTAAAAAAAAATTCTTAAAAAAGTAACATGGCTGTATTATTGAGTTATACCTATGTATCTTCTTAGATAATTTCCAACCCACGCCATAATTTACCTAAAAACCGTTTACTTTCACTTTTATTTTAATTCTTAAATTATTTGATTAAGATTAAAAAAAAATGTTTTACCAAATTATTTACGTAATTGCAGAATACATAAAGTTTAAAAATAAGTGGATATTGAACTAAATAACTGGTAATAAATTTAAATTTTAATAAAAAAAAAACCGAACAACGAAAACCCGATTGAAAACCGATTTGACACTGTCCTTTTTTCACGTTCCATTTCATAGAGGTAAAAATTTTTCAAATTTTGACTTTCGTCTTGAATCTTTCGTTTCCTAAAATTTTCATAGAGTAATTTTTTCAGTGAGTTGCATCATATTGCGCAATAGATTATGGTTAATTAAAACTTGAGTTTTTTTTTGTAGTTTTTTATGTTTTAAAAATGTGTAAATTTGTTCGGTTTTTAGTTTTTTATAATCTCGAAATGATTTTTCATCATGATTTCAATTATTATCACTCTTTAAAAGTTGTTTAAGAGCATTTATTGAGCATTTAAGTGAGTTGCCATATTGGTCAATAACAATTATCACATTTTTTTATAATTATTATTATAAATTAAAAGGAAGGGGGGACAAAACAGTTTTTATTTTTACTTTACAATAGGTCAAGTTTAATTGAAAGAGTCAATAACACAAAAGAAACCAATGTCACTGACATTTTGTGACATGGGGTCAATAATCATTGCAGTTTTAGGACATAAAACATGTGCACAAAGAAATGTTTAAGTTTCATTGACAAAAATAATTTTCCCTTTTTATTTTTACTTTTTTTTTGACAATTTATAAGGTTAAAAAAGAAAAAGAAAAAGTCAAAGAGTTCACTGTAAAAATTATTGACCAATTTAAGGCATTTAGTTTTTTTTACAACTGCTCAATATAACCTGAAGTGTAAAATTTATTATTATTATTAGTTTAGTTGTGTGTGCGCGGCCTTCCGTTTGTTTTTTTGTAATTACATCATGACAAAGCATTTTTAATTGAGTTATGACAACTTGTGTAAAAGTTAATCAATTCAAGGATGATCATTTTAGGATGACCTGTGAACAGGTATTATTTTTTATGTTCCCTTTTTTTCTTTTTGGCAATTATTTATAACAAATGCATGAATCCCAGACCACCGTTTTGTTATATTGGTTGTACAACAATGTGTTTGTTAACAAAGTTAACTTTTATATTTACAAATATAAAAAAAAAAAACAAATTTTTTTTTATCTTAAAAATAAACTAAATTATAAGAATCAAATATTTGTTTAACATGATTCAACAAATAATTTTTTTTTTTTTATAAAAGATAAAATTTATTTATTTTTTGCTACTACTAAAAAAAAAAAATACAAAATGAATTAAATAATAAATCAGAAATGAATGAATGATTAGAAAACAACAAAACATAAATTTGACCATATTCAACAAATAATAAAAATGAATGAATTGAATGAATAGTTTTGCAACATGTCAAATAAGTCATGACTTGATAATATTTTCTCCTTTTTTTTACACATCTTACAATAAAATACTTTGTTTGTTTGCCTTTGAAAACATTCTTACAAAAAAAATAATTGTACAAATTACACATGCATCATCATTATTATTACTATTTGGTTTTCATTGTATTAATTGTTGTTTGTTTTATGATAAAACAAAACTTTATGTTATCCAGTTTAATGCAAACCAATTAATTAATAAATGAAAAAAATGTTTTTTTTGCTTACCTTATTATTTTTAATATAAATCATTCTTATTTCCCACCTACATTAAAATAATAATAATAATAATGACTTGTTGAAGCACGCATGCGGGTTGAATGGCGGTCAACAAGTGTTTATGCTCAATAGATTTATTTAATTACTGTCGATAGTTTTATTTTTTAATAATTTAATTATTATTTACGTATAAAAATTTTTTATATTTTATTTATTTTATTTTGACATGATTAGTTTATTAAATTAAATTTAATAATATTTAATTAATTTTCAGTTTAAGACACTGAATGGTTCACCGTTTGATTCGAACATGGAAACGTGCATGGTGGATGCATTAGAAGATACCTCAGTGCGTTTAATTTACAAAAGGTAAGATCTCATTTTAAAATTTATAATTCACTAATGAAGGGCTTATTAAGGGATAAAATAAATTTTGGAAATTTTTATTTATTAATGCTTACAAATGTCAATATTATATTTTCTTGGTTAATTATAATTAATTAAGGTATGTGCTTCACTTAGTTTATGCTAAATATGTGTGAGAATAATATAATAATGGGATTAATCAAATTTTGTTATGATACATATATATCAATTGAATATGCAAAATGTCAGCCATGTTTGTGCTCTGATTGTCCTCTATTATTTTATACTTTTTCTTTTGGGTTGTTTTGTTTTGTTAAAGCATACCCTATCATATATATAGTGTGTTAATGACTTTAAGTCTGAATTAAGGTGTAGAAAGGTTACAACTGAGCTCTATTGTAATTGATTCAGTGTAAAACATTGTGTATGTGAAAAACATTGAATGTGACCAAATTAATAAAAGTGGGAAATGAGAAAAAAGACAAAGAAAGAACTAGAACATTTAGTTTTGTATGATTCACCTAAAACAGTTTATTTAATTTTCACTCTTTCTCATCCTGGCTACTCTCTCTCTCTCTCTCTCTCTCTCTCCCAAGATTGTATGCCACCCATAATCTAGTTCAGGGAGTAACTCATTTTTCTTTAAAATAAGTAATAAACTCAGTTATTAGTTATGATTGTAACTCATAACCGTTACACACAAGCATTTATTCCTAAGGGAACCATTAGAAGCCTGGAATAAATGTTTAAATAACAAAATTTACAATAACATAGCACATGTGGTGATTGAATGTAAAACATATACCAATAGTAATAATAATACTGATACTGCATGAGTTTGTAATTTATCATTATCATTATAAGTATTTATTTATTTATTTATTTAACGGTATCTTTAATAAATAAATAATTATTATTATTAAATAATAATTTTTGAAAAAAAAAAATAAAAAGGTTAATTAATGAAATAAATCATCATCATCATTTTCATCAAATAGGACCACAATGGCTAATTGTTTTTTCATTAGGCTTTATGTAGGCTTACTTAATTTTCATAATAATTAACTAATTAATAATAATGATGATGATGATGATGATGATAATGATGATGATATTTTATACAAAATCAATAATCAATAAATCTTTATTTAGTAATTTCATTTATGTAAATTTTTTTTTAAATATTTTTTTTTTTTTAAATTTTAAAATTAATTCATGATTTAAATTTATGTGAAAAAAATAAAAAATAAAAATGGCGGATTAAATTTTCAGTTTAAAATAATTATTTTGAAAATATGACATGTTAATAGTTATTTTTTTTCGTTTGACAGTCGAAATGTTTTTTTTTTATTATTATTATTGAATTTGCATTCGTTTGTTTTTATTTTTTAAAAGTTTTCTTTTAAAAAAAGATAATAATAATAATAATAATAATGTAAATGGGATGATCATCCTGTTAATAAATTTTACGCCCAAACAATTTCGGGCAATGAAGGCCGCCGACTTGAACAGGCAAACAAATCAGGCAAATGAAATTAAAAAAAAATTTTAAACATTTGGGTAAACGATTTGGTAAAAAAAAAAAAAAAAAAAAAAAAATAATAATAATAATAATAATAATAAATTATAATTTATTAAGTTTAAAAAAAAAAAAAAAAAAATTTCCCCCGTTTTTTTTTTTGTTTTAAACTAATTAAGGACGCCGAAACGAACGACAGAGATTTAAATTTTTTTTATTTATTTATTTTAAATTTATATATTTTTTATTTATTTATTTATTTATATTCACTTAAAAATACTTTTTTAATGAGAAGAACATAAAAAAGTTTATTATCGAAACCTTTATTTCCCTCCCTTCCCCATTTTGTACGCGCGTTTTCATATGCGTAAATGCGTTTTTTTTTTTTAAATTTTTATTTACTTATTTATTTATTCTGAACATGTTTTTTTTTGTTTATAATTTCATCCGCATTCCATTAATTCATAACAAATTTTTTTTTAAAAAAATGGAAACGAATTACATAAAATAATTATGAAAAATTTTTTTAAATGAAAAATTACATAAGAATTTAAGGGTTGCCAACTTGATTTCAAAAAAATAATTGTTCGCGTACGTATATATATTTAACGATTAATATTGTTTTTAAACAAACAAACGGAAAAATACTTTTCGAACAAACGATATTATATGGATATTATTTAATTCAACTCTTACCGCACTTTAAAAAAAAAAAATTTTTTTTTTTTTATTTTTTATTTTTACTGCCGGTAAATCCCGTTTTTTTTTTTTTTTTGTAACGTTTGTATTTCTGCACGCGAAAAAAAAAAAAAAAAACCAGTTAAATGATTTTTATATTCATTTTATTTTTTATAACGGTTAAATTTTAAATTTATATATATTAAATTTTATACATAAATTATTTTTTATGTAACTTTTTTTTCTTTTAAAAAATTATTAATTATTTATTAGTTGGTTTTTTTTTTGAATAAAAAAAAAAAAAGGGATGGAAAGAAGAAAGAAAGAAAGAAAGAAAATACGATTCGGATATGATTTTTTAACGATGGGTAATATTATATTAATATATATATATATATATATATATATATATATATATATTTACATAAAATTTTATTTATGTTATTAAAAAATGATTATAAATATAACGAACGAACAAACGAACGATCGAACGGGTTTTTTTTCGCGATTGTGGTATAAAGTTGTTTGTTTTTAAAGGAAAATCACACAAAATGATTTTTAAAAAAAATCGTTAATAATTTTTGATTTTAATGTCGTTTACGTAATAATAATAATAATAATAATAAGTTAAAATTTATATTAAAAAAAAAGAAAAAAGTCGTTACGTGGCGTATGGAATTTATTACGGTTGATCAGTTTAATGAAACTGGATAAATAT